TTACGCAAGTCCTTCTGGTTCTTTGAAACCGGCCAGTCTACAATGGCCTTGACCTTAGGGGGGTCCGCTCAAAGGCCACGCGTTCCAATCAAGCACCCTAAAAAGGGATCTCTTCTGCGCCAAAGATGCACTTGTTTGCATTGGCGTACAGTTTGTTCGTGCGCATGCACCTGAGCACTGCTCTTAAATGGACGATGTGGTCATCCGTCCTCCCGTGCTCCACACGACTGTGGACAGAGATGTCGTCGAAGTATATTAGTGCATACGTTCACTGATATCCGAGGGCAACAATTTATTTCGGACAAATCCATTTCCTGAAATGTTGCTGGTGCAATTGACAGCCCTCAGAGCATCACCATTTACTCACAGAGCATCCCTCTCGGAAAACTAACGCTGTTAGCGAAATATCACTCGCTCTCATGAGCATTACCATCGACCAAGTCGAATGCGCTGTACTCTGTGCAGATAACCATACTGTTCAGGAGAACATTCTTTCTAGAAATCATCATCTGTGCCGAAATGGTTGCAGCGTTGAGCTTATTGTAAGCGTGAGCGATACGCCACTTGCTGACAGCTTTCGAACACAAAACGTGGGTGTCGAATGGGAAGACTTGCTCTCACGTACCGTCCCTGCGTCATGCATCGCACGGAAAAAAGCGTCAATGACGTCACACTGCTCCTTCAGTAGGGGCCATTGACGTATTACGCGGTATTTAGTCCCCGGAACCAGGTCGATCTCATGACGCACACCTCGGTCCGGAGGTAGGACCGAAGGAGGGTCTTTGGATACGACGTCTTGAAACTCCTTTACCAAAGGATAGTACGGATCCGAGGGATTCCGTAGGATCGACGATCCACTTCGTGCGTTCAGCACTCTCTTGGTGTCCTCCAAAACAGGTTCATTCAGAAACGATGGCGAGTTTATCTCCTCGTCCGGTCGTACAATGACCACTCGGGCCAAATCGCCTGCCTTCAAGGCACTGCCAAACTCTTTAAGGGACATT